GTTGGGGGAGATTCCGGGTGACTGGGGGAACAGAGATGCAGAGAGGCTGAAGCAGAGAGACGATGGGCATTGATAGAGATAACGGCAGACAGCGGAGGTTTACTGGGGGATATCTTCTCCTCGAGGGGAAGCATAGCATACGGCCCCAGGGTTTAAAAGCTTTGATCCCTGACCCTGCTCCGCTGAGCGAAGCTGTTTGAGCTTCAGCTACAGTGGTTTGTGGAATTCGAGTGTGACAGTAACAATGCATAGGTAAGTTAGAGTGAGTTTCACCTGATTTCGTTCCGAGATTGTGTTATTCAACAAAGGAGGCACATGGATGAATTCTGTGATAACTCGTAAATACACCTTGTCTGTGGAAACCTTTATCGCACTATTGACGAAATAATGGAATAAAGGTAGGGTAAAGAATGCAAGCTAAGGTCAAGCAAATCGAAGTTCGTTTCCGAAATGTGTTTTTAATTTGCATGTAGCTGAAAATTAAGGGGCAGCAGGAAAATGTTCCTCTCACAGAAGCGTTCATTTGACTTCTTTTTCAACTAGTGTACTATAATAAATGTTGTGTGGGAAACTTAACTAGAAACATCCGAAGTATCCATCTGAAGTCAGGACATAGGACTTCAGACGCGAGGTGATAGAACCGACGGCGCGTTGCAGGCAGTCCACGTCAGGCCGCGTTCATAGCTTGCGACCATGAAGAAATGCAGAAATGAAGAAGTGCGGAAAGTGCAGAAATGCTGAAATGAAGAAATGCAGAAATGCGGAAACTGAGGAAGTGTGGAAGTGCGGAATCTGCAGAAATGAGGAAAAGCAACATATCGATTTCCCGCATTTCGGCATTTCTGCATTTCTTCAGATCGATACGTATTGGTTGCTTTTCGTCATTTCTGCAGATTCCGCACTTTCCGCTCTTCTTCTTCAGTTTCCGCATTTCTGCATTTCTTCAGGGTCGCAAGCGATCCGTTTGTGTTACTTGGTTTCGTAACGAGGATCACGCACAAAAGTTCAAGATGTCATGTATTGGGTCGGCCCCATAAAGTACAGGCGTATTTTTTTGTCACGTCGAAATATCCGCACTAAAGATGACCAAAGTTCGGTACAATTGGATGCAATTATCTTTTACATACATTAGAAAGAATTTGCGTCGACGACGCTAACTGTCATCTTAATTTTCTTGCAACTTTCCCTCTTTCACTGGATATTTAAGCGCTCGAAGCTGAAGTATGTCCAAGTCGACGAAATCAAGCATTTCTATTGGAACAGCAACGCAGGCGGCCTCTAATTTGCTAAGTATAGTCGCACATGGCCAAAAGCTAAATGTCTATCCAGAAATGTTCAGCGAATAGTTCATGTGACTCGAAGACTTCAATTTTCGCCACTTCAAAGACAAGCATCCGAACATAAGTGCCTCGTATTGAGAGCCAAAGTGGAGGAGCTAAACGGATCTAAAAAAAAACCCTTTTATTAAGGGAGATCATGGCCAAAAGAATGAGGGGTCGTTATAGAGGTGACGAATGTTTCCTGTTATATATAATCAAGCGTCACCCTTAACTTGGAGAGAGAAATGTCAGAACTAGTGGATGGTGTTATGCAAGGCAGGCCGCTCCCCGTGGCCTCCCCCTCCCCAACGATGCACAATTAGCGATAACCAAAAGTCGCTATGTAATTGATCGCTTGAAACAACTCAAATTGTCCACAGAAACACTTTTTCTATGATCACATATATCACAAGTTTCGAGCTCCATCTGTGATTTGAGAGCCGAGATAAAGTGGAGAAAGCTGTTGTCGAAAACTCACATTTTTGTCGACCCGAGCTTCCGTTTCAATGAGTAACAATCGTACAGTAAAATACCAAGAGTAAGAAAAAGGCTCTTTACACCATGCTTATAGAGTGGAAAATTTATCTGTAGACAGGAAACACATGAAAAAACACACACGTTGTCATTTCCCATGTAAAAACTTGTAAGAGAAAAAAAATCGCCATTACTTATGGGCTAACCTAATAACTGGTACTGATCCATCGTAGATGGGACTGTTTCTCCTTTGCGCCGCTTTGAACCAACGTAGGGTTTCCTGGTCAGTTTAAAGCAAAGGTTTCAGTTACTGCACAGGCTAGCAGCTCTCCCCTCCAACCTGCTCGAGCTCAGGCGGTCCCTTTACAGTGGATGAACAGTTGCATAATGATGGAAAACGAAAACTATACTTAGAAAGTACGTAGAGAATGTTAGCAAGAACATAAGACTCCAAAAGATTTAATTGCAAGAAAAAATGCGGGGAAAACTGCCCATATTTTACAGACACCCGTGGATACAAAATAACCTCAATGGGCCTTCATACAGAACAATAACGATAAGTAATGACATGATAACTAACGATCATTATTCAGATGTACACCTAGTGTGGAAGCAATAATGCGGCTGCACTTCACAATCAGATTGAAGGACGTAGTACGAAACGACTTGAGGTGGGAAGGTTTCCTGAAAAACAAAATAGCATATCTAGTGATTATCGCATCAATGTTCCGTCAAGGAATGACAAACCGTGTGTCAGCGTGGATCTCATCCTCTCTGCAGTGTTGGACCGTCAACTGTCGTTTCTTGGTGTATTGTTGCGATGGTATGTGGACGTGAAATCTTTCTATCTATCCACAAACGATAAGGGCTTATGGTATAAAGCGATGTGAAAGGACCCAACACCGGGAGGAGACCATATATAGTAGCCGTGTTGTATTCAAAAAATGGATGGTGGTATATGTTGAATTGACCGATGCCGTAAAATATGACGGCGACCACAAAGAATATAGGAAGGCAGGCCTGGATGACGAGCGCCTTAAGAAGTCTTCTATATCACAGGGCTCAAAATAACACCTATTCCTGTAGATGACACCTGCTTAAATACGAATGTTCCCATGGATATTTCCTCGGTCATAGGCTTCAAGCTCAAGAATGGTTCTTGTTGGTGGTATATCACACGTAACTGCAGCGCGTCTTGGCAGTCCAAGCTTATCATATACAAAGTGATTCTCATTTCGAATTGAATTCTCCATTCTGGACTATTCCGCGCCTGTTCCTGTGTTGCAGTGAACTTCAAGCATGTTAAAATTTTAGATGAGCAAAATAATGCCCTACTGCCGCAGTTGAGCAACGAAGTGACCAGCTCATTCTCTCACACTGGAACGCTCCTGTGCATTACTAGGAATCCGAAAGATGATTGGATGATTCGGATATCTTCACCCTTGCCATGCCTCCGACCATGGGCACAGTCTCTGATAATTTCAGGACTTTATCAGTTTTTGCAGGTTGAGCGTGTATTTGAAGTTGTTGCCAGCAACGTGTCCCATTGTTGCTGTCACCAGATGATGTATTCAGCTGTGAGGTTTCCGTGAAAGCTTTACCGATGTCCCGATATAAATGTGCTGTTCTGGTGTGCGCCAAAAGCTCGTAAACAACGCTTCGGACCAGCCGTCAACATCGCTTTTCTGCGGAGAACAAAGCAGCATCTAAGTTTTCAATAAAAAGCTAATCTGTGACTTCTTTACTAATACTCAGATTATCACCGCATGCCTTTTTCGCTTTTCTAGAGTCTAGGCTTCAAAGATTTAGGCAAAAGCAAGCACGACCGAATTGAAGATGTGAGCACGTAACCAAAGCTTTGTTGGTGCACTCGCTGACACTTTTGCGTTCATCATTGCCTTCGCTTATTGCTTGCGCTGCAACACTGCTCATTTCAGCTCTTTGCAGCCGCATAATTCACCATAGTGAACTTTAAGCAAAGGTATGAGTACTCGGAGCACCAGAGCTCGTTCCAGCGGAGCGTCAGAATGCTGTTTGATCAAACCTTACGTAGTTAAACGGGACATGGCTGAGAAAAAAATCAGAACGTGAATGGTGGATAATTTTCTCGATTAGTGCCCCGGATGCAGCTGTTCGGTTTAGAAGCCGGAAGCATTTTATTTTGGTTTTCGAAAGTTAACCGGAAATGGTATCCCTTAAGGAGTTTCGAATTTCGGACTGCGAAAGTTGATGATCGGTTTTCGAAGCCAATTTAAAGAACCCGTTACCGTATTTTTGGTGTACTGATGCTCTCAAAAAAATTCCTTTTCTATATTATAGAGCAAGAGCTCTCAGGAGTTATATGTAAAAAAGCACTCAAAGCAGAAACTTGTAAAAGAAATGGGTTCATTAGACGACATGCCCCTTATTCTGTTCGTTAGTGTCTCCATCTTCATGCAATAAACATTATCCTATTCTCACGGACAACATTTATAAAAAGTCTTCAAATGCGGTCTGCATTCCTTTTGCCTATTGCAATATATCCCGTCCATAGATTGGCCACATAGAGCATCCCTTGAGTTCCATTAGATCACTGTATCAGATAATCAAACAACAATTGAAATACGGTATAACTATCTGAGCTTGCTTAATGCGGGGTAAGCACACTTCAAGTCTAGAAGCCAAAGCAAATCAAAAATCAAAAGGTTAGGTGCATTATACCGTGTGTCACTATTGAGGCGATGCTCATTTTTTTATCACATCATTTCCTTGTACGCTAGATGTCTTTTTCAGAAGTTGAGTAGCATTTCTGCCTCTTCCAAGTGAAAAAGAAGATGTTGAAATGCAATGTTTGATCTGGTTCCACAACCTCGCCTTTCCTTATCTAATACATCTGATGGAAGTGCTTTATTCAAGGCACTCAAGATCTGTGAGAACTTTCCGGAAAACCCCGGATATAATAATGTAATATACAACATATAGTGACTTGGATTTTGGGTGCAAAGTAACTGCACAGCGTTTAGCGAGAAAAATCTCACCCTGAGCAGTTGCGAGTGAAGAACACGAGTTCGCTTGGACATGTTTGCACAGC